TAAATAACAAATTTAGAGCTGCCTTTTAAAAAAGGCAATAACTACTAACGTGAAGGACAGGTTTGAAAACAAGTTTTAATTTCAGTTTCATTAAGTTGAATGGTTTAGCTAAGACTAAATGCTGGATGTGGTTGTGCACACCTTTAATCTCCACTCTGGAGACACAAAGGCAGATCTCTGAGATTGAGGCCAGCCAGGACTACTTAGTGAGCCCGTCTTTTTAAAAAAAAAAAAAGGCTAGAGAGCTGGCTTAGCAGTTCAGAGCGCTGGCTGCTCTTGAAGAGGACCTGGGTTCAGTTCCCAGCACTCTCATGGCAACTTACTCCAGTTCCAGGGATTCCAAAGCCCTCTTCTGACCTCCATGGGCATTGCATGACATGATTGCACTTACATGCAGGCAATACACATACACATAATTTTTTTTTTTTTTAAACCTGGGGCTGGAGAGATGGCTCAGTAGTGAAGAGCACTTGCTGTTCTTCTAGAGGACCCAGGTTTGATTCCCAGCACCTATGTCAGGTGGCTCACAACCACCTTTAACTCCAGCTCCAGGGAATCCTGTGGGCCTTCTAGCCTCTATGGGCATCTGCATGGTACGGTAGACACATAAATCTTTAAAAAAAAAAAAAGCCCAGGCTGAGTCATGTTGCTGACATGATACCAGACTGTCTTTGGCACTGAAGAGAGGTGTTAGGGGTGGTCCAGCCCTGCCCTTCTAGAAATCACATCCAGTTTGGCTTTCATCAATTCACAATTAACAGGGGCCGGGGAATCTGGTGATGAAGATCGTTATGGGCTGTGCCCTCAGAATTCATGGTCCACCATCAGGATGTGCCCCACCCCAGGCAACCTGAAACAGTCAAGTCACAGATGAGGGAGCCCAGGTGCTGCTCTGAGGATTGCAGGGTGGGGCATCCTCAAGGCCCTATCCTTGGTGTTTTTTTTGAGACAGGTTCTCACTATGTAACATTGGCTGGCCTATGTAGACCAGGCTGGCCTCAATCTCATAGAGATCCACCTGCCTCTGCCTCCTGGGTGCTGGGATTAAAAGTGTGTGCCATGCCCGGGCCTTAAATCTCTGGAGACTTTTTTTTTTTTTTCCCTTCCCCTTTCAAGGCAAGGTCTTATTATAACTCACTTTGTAGCCCAGGCTGGCCTCAAACTCACAGGCCTGCCTCAGTCTTCAAAGTAAGTGCTGGGATTCTGGTGTGTACCAGCACCTCCGGCTCTGAACCCTTTCATTCTGCCTTCCTCATCTTGTGGATCTCAGTCTTTTGAGGTCTCTCCTGCACTCAGTCCTACCTTGCATCACATGTAGATGTGCTTACTTCTCTTGATTTCTAGTCTGCTAGCTGTCTACCTCTGTGGGTCTGTCCCCAGCTCTGAGCTTGCCTCTGCCTATCTGAAGAAGTGTGCTTCAGGACCTTGAAAGCCAGACCTAGAGTGCAGGCTTTCCTCTGAAGACAGCACTGAGCCCCCGGGAAGCTGAGACAAAGCTCAGGCTGTAAGCAGGGCCTGGCTGGAAGATTTACACTGAAGAAAGTGCCTTGAAGCCTGGAACGATATATGCCAAGAATCCCAACACTTAAGAGGCCAAGGCAGAAGGACCACTGAGTGGAAGGCCAGCCTGGGCGATATAGCAAAATCCTGCCTCAAAAACCTGCGAAACAAGACAGCCCTGAGCTGGGGGTGTTGGCACACACCAATAATTTTAACAACTGGAAAGCTGAGGCAGGGAAACTGCCAAGAGTTTCAGGCTGATCTTAGCTACATCTGGAGAATTCCAGGCCTGCCTAGGTGCAGAATGAGACCCTGACTTTAAATAGCAAGAAGAAAAAGAAAGGCAAGACCCTGTGTTCGTCTAGAAGGAAGCTGGGGAGGGCCAGACCACAGGAGGAAGATGCGGGGCTGGGGCTGGTGCTCCTAGAGTGCAGCCATCAGAACCCTGATTAGGGGGACGTTGGGGAAGATTCTGGGTCATGAGGGTGGAGGGACAATACCAAGGCCTCTGGGGAAGATCACTGGAGGTGTCAAATTTCTCTGTTCTGTCTCTCCTCACCCCGCTACATTATAGCCCCCCTCTCTGACGTCACATTTTCCAGTCTGGTCAGGGGAATGAGGGCCTCCCTGCCTGGCAGGAAGTGCCCTTTAGCCCCCTGCCACCTGGGTTGGACTACTCAGTACTAGAACCCTTAGGCTCCCCTCCTCCCATAGCTAGCCCTTCCTAGCCTAACCCCCCCTTCCGTTCACAGCAACCAAAGGGATAAGGGAGGCAATGGAAAGGTAATCTCGGAAAAGAGGGTCATCAAAGAGCACAGGGGTTCCCAGGGCAAAGATGGAGAGGATGCAGCAAGGAAGAAGGCAGGCAGAGCCAGAACTGTCAGTACAGTGACTTGGGAGGTGTGGAGAGATGGAGGACACAGGAACACTCAGAAGAGAGACTGAGACTTGTCACAGGGTAGCAAGGCCTCGTGTCAGACCAGTGCAAAGAGCCCAGAAGGACCACAACCAGAGGAGAGGTAGACAGGAGAGGGCCAGCAGGACTCCCTTCAGGCCCCTGGGTGGATGGGTGGAGGAACCAGTGATGTCCAGGGCTCATGGCTGGCTCAACACTGGGTCCAATCACAGCCCCAAATGACTGTTGAGTCCAGTTTCTCTTCTGTAAAATGGACAGAAGCACAGTGCTCCCTCCCCCACCTCCAGAATGGTGAAGAATGAAGGAGCTGTGTAAATATTGGAGATTATTCATATTAAACAGTTTTTTGCTGGGCATGATGGCATATGCCTATAATCTCAGCACTTGGGAGGCAAATGTACAGGATCAACAATTCAGTTTGATGCCAGCCTAGGCTACATAGAGAAACCACATCACTAAAAAACAAGGGCAACAGACTGGAGAAATGCCTTAGCAGTTAAGCTAAGCTAAGCAGTTAAGCTGTTCTTGCAGAAGACCCAGGTTCAAATCCCAGCACCCACATGGAGGCTAACAATCATCTATAACTCCAGTTCCAGGGGATCCAACACCCTCTTCTGTCCTCCACAGGCATTGCATGTCACAGGTGCACTTACATACAGGCATAACACTCATACACATAAAATAAAATAATAAATAAAAATGAAAAGTAAGCGTTGGCAAGTGAGATGGCTCAGTGGGTAAAGGCACTGGCAGCCAAGTCTGATAACCTGAACTTCATCCCCAGGACCCATATGGTCGGAGAGAACCACCTCCCAAAAGTTGTCCTCCGACCTCTGCACATGTGTGCGTACATACATTAATTGATTTAAAAACAAGGGCTTGGCTGGCAGATAGCTCAGTGGGTAAAGGCACTTGCTGAAGAAGCCTGAAGATCTGAGTTCAATCCCTGGAACCTATGTAAAGGTAGAAAGAGAGAAGAGAACCAACCATTTACACAAAGTTGTCCTCTAACTTCCACAGACTGATCCTGCCACATGCACATGCATGTACGTACATGAGAATAATAAAATGGAGTTAAGAAAAAACTAAACCACAGGCTAGAGCTATAGCTCAGTGGTAGAGCAATGGCCTAGTCCCCAGCACCAGGAAAGAAAATAAAAATGTTTTAATGTTAAGTATTTACTTATATAGGATGATGGGCACATGTAGTATCAGGCCAGGTCACTCAAACTAAGGTTTGTCAAGCTTAACAAAAATCCAGGACATCTAGTAATTGAATTTCAGATAAGTTTTGGTATAGATGTCACAAATATTGCTTAGATATATATATGTGTGTGTGCATGTTATGTGTGTTAATTTTTTGCTGAATCATTTGAAGCAAGGTGTAAAATTATAACACCTCATCCCTAAATATTTTCATTTTCAAGTAAAGATATCTTTCATATCTTGCCATTATCATATATAAAAAAATTATTCCATTCAAGAATTCATATATTCAGTTTGTGCTCAACTTTTTCCCAATTGTCTGGGATTATTTCAGCTCAGAAGGACATGTGCTCTGGAGAAAAAGAGAAGTGCGCTGCAGAATATGCCTCAATTTTCCCCTTCATAAAATTGAGATTTAAAAAAATCTACCTTGAGCCGGATGTTGTGGCACATGCCTTTAATCCCAGCACTTGGGAGGCAGAGACAGGCAGATCTCTGTGAGTTCAAGGCCAGCTTGGTCTACATAGTGAGTTCCAGGCAGGCTGGGGCTACAGGGAGACCCTGTCTCAAAAAGACAAAAAAACAAAAACAAAAACAAAAAAAACAAAAAAAACCTACCTCTTAAGAGGAAATGACAGCCCATTGCACATGGTTCATTGGCACTCAGTGAGCCCTCATTCAATGTTAGCTGTTACTATTACTGTTGTTATCATCTATGTTGATGCTATTATGATTGACACTTCAGGAGCAGCTCCAGAATACCCTCCCCAACTGTGCCTGGTAGGGGACTGGGGTTGGCTTCCCCCACCTCATCTGGCTGTCTGTCACCCTGCCGTTTGTGACGTAGGCTGATGCTGGGGAAAAGGGGCATCTGGCCGGAAATCCCTCTTCCTGTTGCAGATAAGCCCAGAGCTGCGCAGCTGACCCAAGACCCTCCTCCCCCACCACCTTCCATATCACAGGATCAAATCATCAAGATGGGGAACCTGTCCAAGTCCTTCACCCCATTCCCATTACCCAGTAAACAGCCCTCATCTGTACCCCAGCCCTGCCCTGCTCCTGTTCCCCAAGTACTTTTCCAAACTCAAGTCATCCCTGCAGGGGGACAGTTCCAGGAACCCGTGAGCATCCCTAAGGTGGGGGGTGCCGTTTGGCCACGCCCCCATCACTGCAACTTGACCCCAGCTTCGACCCCCTGCTCTGACGTCTCGGAAAATTCCCCCCCTGCTCAGTCCCCCAGGGAGGGGGTGCATGGTATGAAATGGGGCTGAGACCCCCGGCTAGGGGCAGAGGAACCTGTCAGAGGTGAGCTACCAACTAGGAACTAGATGGATGCCTGGGTGTCTGGGTTAGGGAGGACCCTGGGGACTCTCAAAAAGCTGGGAGCCTGGAGTACAGGGTCTGGGAGAGGGAAAAGGGACTGGAGGCCAAAATTCGAGGTCCCCGAGGAAGGAAGGAAGAAGCAGAAATCTGGACTCCTGGGTCTGAGGGTAAAACAAAGACTGCGACCAGGCTCCGAGGTCCCTAAGTGTCACCAGCTCATCCATTGCCCTTGGAATTTTTCCTTTCCCTACCCAGAACAGCCAAAGCAAGCATTCATGGACCTGTGGAACTGGGATGAAGCATCACCGCAGGAAGTGCCTCCCGAGGACAAGCTGACAGGACTTGGTAGGCTGCTGGGGCTTGGGACAAAGTGTGAGCAAGGGTCCAAGGATGTGGGACACTCTTGACCTCTGACCTGGCCTTAACATCTTTATTGCCGGCAGAAGGAGCAGAATTTGGCTTCTATTTCCCTGAACTGGCACTCCAAGGTGATACACCGATCACACCGATGACCCTGGAGACTGGCTGGAAAGGTAGCTGCTGAGTTGGGCTCCCCGGGTGCTGAGAAGAAAAGAGGGTGGCTGGACTCCTAGGTCTCAGGGAGGAGGGGGCTTAGTGGGAAGGGACAGCAGGTTTGGACTCTTTAGGTTGAAGGAGGGTTGGGTGGCTGGCTGAGAATGTCTCCACATTATGGCTTACACCTTTCCTAAACGGTTGCAGGGCTGGACTGGAGCCTCGCGTTACCACCGCATGCTGAAGCACCTTGCAAGGCAGGTGAGTGTGTACTAAAGAGCGGTGGGAAAAGAGGACTGAGGTCCTGGTACACCAGGGCTGAGACTTTAGACCCCTGGTCTTTGCAGAGGAATGAGACAAGGACTGGGGACACTTACATCCTCAAGGCTTGCATGGGCTGGATCTGGGATTCCTTGCCCCTAAGTGCCAGGACTGAGATCAGACCCCCTACAGCACCTGAGGGTGCTGAGGACCAGGACACCTGGGCTCCCCTCACTCAGGGTGCGTCCTCCTCACAGAGCCCGCCGCTCACGCTCTTCCATGGTCCGGAGACTGGACAGACCTGGGGTGCACCGCCTCGGATACCTGGAGCTGCACAGTGCCAACGCTAGGCTCCGCCCCTCCCGGCACGAGCCCCGCCCCCTTCGCCGGTTTTGAGGCGTCGCTGGGCCCGAACTATGCTTCCTCCGACGGAGGGGCCACCTCGTGGTCTCCCACTCCGGCCGCCTGGAGCACAGCCGGCTGGGACAGCTCAGTCGGCTCCAACGGTGCAGCCTACTGGGACAATGGCCTCGGCGGGGAACCGCGTGCGGACTGTACCATGTCGTGGGGCGGGTCTGCGGGTTCAGATTACACCACCTCGTGGAATACTGGGCTGCAGGATTGCGGCATGTCTTCCAAAGAGTACGAGAGTTCAGCATTCACCACTCCCTCTCAACCAAGCCAGCAGTCAGACCGAGCCACCCTAACGCGTTACCCAAAAACGAACCACCGAGGTGAGAGGCCCTGCAAGGCTGCAGAAGTCCAGCCAGAGGGATGAGGCGGGGCCGAGGCACCTAAGGGGCGGAGTCTGAATGGCTAAAGTAGGCGGGGCCTGGCAACTGGCTGCTAGGGGGCGGGGCTATGTTGCTTGAACCCAAACTCCCCCCTAGATGGGGCCCCGAGGATGCCTGGGTCCCTGAAGCTAACTCTTGGATCCTGGAGGGATCCGAACTCAAAGATCCCTGAGGAGAAGGCGATCTGGACTCCTGGGTCCTAAACCTGGAGCTTTTAGCCTTCAAAGTAAAGGACCCCCGACTCCTAGGTCACCATGGGACCAGAAAGCCTGGGAGTTGACCTGCCTCTTCCCCGCAGGTCCCATTCAGCTGTGGCAGTTTCTCCTGGAGCTGCTCCACGACGGAGCGCGTAGCAGCTGCATCCGCTGGACGGGCAACCGCCGCGAGTTCCAGCTCTGCGACCCCAAAGAGGTGTGACAGCTCCCCGAGCTCCCGAGTCCCGCAGGATCTACTCTAGTCCCACTATGCCCCGCCATTCCCGTAGCCCGGCCCGTGGCCCCGCCCTAGCCCCGCCCTACTTAGACCACGCCTCTCTGCGCACTGCCCCGCCTCCTCGACTCTGACTTTCTCCTGGCCTCGGTCCTAGGTGGCCCGGCTGTGGGGCGAGCGCAAGAGGAAGCCGGGCATGAATTACGAGAAGCTGAGCCGCGGACTGCGCTACTATTACCGCCGCGACATCGTGCTCAAGAGCGGTGGGCGCAAGTACACATACCGCTTCGGGGAACACGTGCCCGTAATCGCCAGCCGGGATGGCATGGGGGACCCGCCGGCTGCAGAAACCCAATAAAAATACTCTGTTGACCACGTCCTGTGTGCTGGTCTACATCTTTTCCACCCACGCTGTCTAGCCCTGCCAGGAAGCCCCGACTCTAAAGCGTTCGGGGTCCCTACTCTGGCGTCTGGACCCCTATCTTTCACAAAATCCAGGAGCCTGAGTCATCGATCCCTTGGTCCCTAGATTGCCAGCGTCCGAGTCCTTTTCACAGTGACTAAAGAGTGTGGGCCCCTCCCATCGCGAGTCTTCAGCTCCCAAGCCCTGCTCCTCCCTGCCGGTTTCTCGAGCTGCTCCCCTTTAACTATCTAGGTCCCGCCTCTCTACCTTTGCTCTCCGTGCATTTTCTTTTTCTTAAGTTTTTAAAAATTTACTTATATTGGGGTTGGAGAGATGACTCAGCGGTTAAGAGCACTGTCTGCTCTTACAAAAGGACACAGAGCCCACGTGGCAGCCAACAATCGTCCATAATTCCAGTTCCAGGAAATCCGACACCCTCTTCTGACCTCTGCCAGCAGTGCACACACATGGTGCGCTTACATACTTGTAGGCAATACACTCACATATAAAATAAAGACAGGGGGCTGGAGAGATGGCTCAGCGGTTAAGAACACTGGCTGCTCTTGCAGAAGACCAGGGTTTAATTCCTAGCATCCACTTGGAGGCTAATAACTGGCTGTAACTCCAGTTCCAGGGGATCCGATGCCCTCTTCTGACCACCGTGGGCATTGCACGACACGTGTGTGTACCCACCTACATGCAGGCAATACACTCATACACATAAAATAATATACTTTTTGTGTGTGTGTGTGTTTGAGACAGGGTTTCCCTGTAGCCCCAGCTGACCTGGAACTCGCTATGTAGACCAGGCTGGCCTCGAACTCACAGAGATCCGCCAGCTGGGATTAAAGGCGTGCGCCACCACGCCCCGCCCGAATTGTAGTTTTTGAGGATAGTCATGAGCTAAGTGGAGTGACCCTGGAGGATAAACCAGTTTGTTTTCAATCCTTTAAGGAAAGACCCCAGAACAACTGTGAGGTAGAGAATTTTGTTTTCGTCAGAGCTGCCTTCTCAACCCTGACAGTGTTTCAAACAGGGTGTTTAATTTGAAAAAACAAAACAAATAAACAAAACACTTTTATCCCAGAATTTAGGAAAGCAGAGCCAGGCGGATCTCTGTAAGATGGAGTCCAGCCTGGTCTCCATAGCTCGTTCCAGGCCAGTTGGGGCTACTGGGAGACTCTGTCCCAAAAAAAGAAAAAACAAAACAAAAAAGAAACAAAATTTTTGAGGCAGGGTCTCACTTTGTAGTCCTGGTTGGACCTTAACTCGCTACATCCTAGACCAGGCTGACCTCGAACTCACAGAGATCTGCCTGCCTATGCCTCCAAAGGGCTGGAATTAAAGACACAACTAGCCTTAAAAAATATTACTTGCATGAATGAAAATACTTTCACACCTAGGCAAAGCAGTGCACTCCTGTAATCCCAGCACTTGGGAATCTAGGGCAGGAGGTCCACAAGTCCGAGACAAGCCTAGGCTACATGGCAGAACCCTATCTCAAAATACAAACAAGCAAACAAATAAGCACTCTCTCTGAGACATTTCCCACGCTCACTCTACAGTTCCAGGACTGTCTTCTTCGCAAAACACACTCAGATGGTGAGAACATGGGACTAGAACAGCCTGAGCCACCCGGAGCGCCGGGCAAACTCCTGATTGGGCAGGCTGCGGTGACGAACAGGCATTCAATCCAATAGGAGGAGTTCTCGGAGGGTGGGCGTAACCAGAGTGGCTTCCGGCACCGCCTCCCTGTGGCCTCTCTAGCCGCTCAGAGGGCTTGGCTCCACTCTTTCTCCCTTCGCAGCTTCCGGCCGGTCCGAATTCCGCTTCCTGTCTGACATTGGAGTCTTTGCTGAGGGTCACATTGAGCGCGAGCGGCTCCCGGGGCGGCTTTTGGTGAGTGCAGAGGGTCGGGAACGCTGGACCCCGGGGCAGAGGAGCGACTCGCCGCTTCTCCGACTACCGGAAGGGACTTCGGACCTCCCCGGGCCTGGGGTCTTGTTATTGGAATGATGTTAGCCAACCATTCTGTTCTTTCTTGACGCCACGTAGCAGCATTCCACGTAGTTTATAACTGCTTCCTCCACCTTACAGCCCTGAGAGTTAGGATCTGTCATTATCTGGTTTGACAGCTGAGGCGATTTAGCCGAGGCTATCCAGCAGCTAGGATTTGAACCCGGTAAATTAAAGCCTCAGTGCTTATAATCGCCAGTTCACAGGCGTGGCTCAGAGGCCGCAGCGTCACCTTGTCATTTCGTCCCTGTTTCTCAGCATCGTCTTTGATCCACCTTCGTTTTCAAATGTCAAAGTCGAGATCTTGCCCCGAATGACTCCTGACACTGAGTCTCCCCCAGTGGTTGGTGTTAAATCCTCGTCCCCAGCCTATTCACCCCAAAGAGGAGCCCCACTGATTTGGGCCCCTTGAATTTGACACTGGCCTGCTCGCCTCGGTGGTGCCATGCTACCCTAAATTCTCAGGAATATAGACAGTTCCTCTCCGATTCTCTGATGGAGACTGTGTCACCTCTTAAGACATCAAAGACCTTTTAATCCTGGATGCTCAGAGTCACTAGAACTTAAGGATTGCTAGTATTTAAATGTATGGGGGACAGGAATTGTATGGTGCTTTTATTAACTTTATAATAGGCAGCAACTTCAATAGCTTTAACAGCGGTGGGTCGTTGTCAGCAATGAAAATCACAAATATTCTATATTCTATCACATTGTAGTTCCAAGTGTCACAAAACACTTGTTTTGCCAAATTGTGGCACTTAATAAATCCTTATGTAGAGCTGGTTTGCTTTGCCCTCTTATGCAATTTTGCAGTGCATTTAGACATTCTGAGAAAAATTATGGGGTACATCAGACCTCTGTGGAATGTGTGGCACAAAAAGGTTAAGGACCATCCGGGTACTTTATGACCTTGGGAAGTCACTTAGACAACCTGTCCCTTCCTTATGTGGACAACAGGGATATAATAGTGTCTGCCTATCAGAGTGGCCATAAGAATGAGGGGTGTAGAATATGCCTTGCATGTGATGTGCACACAGCAAGTGTTAACTTGTATTTAAGGATCAGGCCTGCTTTTGCTAATGAAATCCCTCCCCCAACCCCACTGTGACTTCTCTCACATGTGAGGATTTGCCCTGCCCTTCATTTCTCTGTGTATGTTGAGAGGGAGGAGAGAGTGGCTTGTATACTTCAATCCCTTCTTCTGGTCTAACCTCTTCATTGGACCTGATGGTCAGACATCCCCATGGCCAGACACCCCTGACCACCACCACCAACGGTTACCAACACATCCACTCTCTTTGTGTCCAGGAGTTGGCACCATGGCTGAAGACATCAAGGCTAAAATCAAGAATTACAAGACTGCGCCTTTTGACAGCCGCTTCCCAAACCAGAATCAGACTAGGAACTGCTGGCAGAACTACCTGGGTAAGCAGGGTATGCGTGTGGGGGAGCCAGCATATGTGGATCTGCCTAGGATCCCACACACCTTGCCTCATGGAAGAAGTGGGGGTACAGGGACCCATGCATTCCAGCCTGCACCCATTGCTTCTGGACAACCTATATGGAGGGCCCAGACCCCAGCTGTGTCAATGTGTGAGCCAGGGTCACAAACTTTGGTCTCTACAATAATTTCTTTTTGAAGGATTGTATGTGGGTTTTTGCACAAAACATAGTTACAGGAAGTAAATACAACACGTATAGCTAAATGATTAATTCTGAAGTGACTCCTGCAACCCTAATCCAGTGGTAAATTGGAAATGGACAACATTGTTCTCTGCTTGCTTGTGCCTGTCTCAAGCACAGTAAGTACCCTTCTCTCTAGAGTCATGATGCCATTAATTGAAGGTGACCATGTTTTGGTACCCCTGTCAGTTAGGTTTGCCTCGCTGTTAACTTTATATATACTATATCCTTTTATGCTTGGATTTAGGGAAACAGACTTTTGTTGTTGTTGTTATTTCTTGGAGACAGGGTTTCACTATGTGGCACTGGTTGGCCGGGAACTCATAGAGATCCACCTGCCTCTGCTTCCTAAGTGCTGAGATTAAAGGCATGCACCACCATGCCTGGCTGGAAAGGGGACTTTTTTAAAAAAAATTATTTTGGGCCGGGCATGGTGGCGCGCACCTATAATCCCAGCACTCGGGAGGCAGAGGCAGGCGGATCTCTGTGAGTTCAAGGCCAGCCTGGTCTACATAGTGAATTCCAGGACATCTGGGGCTACAGGGAGACCCTGTCTCAAAAAGACAAAAAAAAAATTTTTTTTATTTTATGTGTATGCAGGTATTGTGTGCATATATGCAAGTGCACCCGGATCATGCAATGCCTGTGGAGGATAGAAGAAAGTGTTGGAAGCTCTGGAACTGGAGTTAAGGATAGTTGTTAAGTGCCATGTGGATGCTGGGATTTGAACCCGAGTCTTCTGCAAGAACAGCCAGTACTCTTAACTGCTAAGCCATATCTTCAGCCCTGGGAAAGGGGAGTTTTTGAGACCAGGGTTTCATGAAGCCCAGGCTAGTCTCAAAGTCACTATGTATGCAAGGATGGCCTTGAATCCCTGACCCTCCAGCCTTCACCTCCCAAGTGCTGGGACTACAGGTGTGTGTCACCATGCCCACCTTGTCCTTGGATTTCTCCATTTACCAGTTCTTCAGATACATACCTGTGCATCCATGTTGGGGTGCGTAATTGCTCCCTTACGTTGCTGTACAGTTTTCCATTTATTCTACTCATGGACCTTTGTGTGATTTCCACTTGGGAGTTCTTAACAAATACTGCTGTAAATTTTATGAATGTAATTTAAGTTGTATGTAAGGGGTGTTTTATTTTGTTTTTATTTGGTGTTTTGTTTGGTGTTTTGTTTTGTTTTTTTGAGACAGAGCTCCCTGTAGCCCCAGCTGGCCTGGAACTCATAGAGATCTGACAGCCTCTGTTTCGAGTGCCACCACACCCTGCTTAATTTTTTTTTTTTTTGGTCACTACATCCAGCTGCTTTTGGCTTTTCTAGACAGGGTCTTAGTGTTGTAGCCTAAGCTGGCCTGGAAATTGCTAAGTGACCTGAGCTAGCTTTAAACCACAATCTTCCTACCTCAATTTCTGGAGTGTTGAGATTATAGGTATATGCTACTACACTGGCTTAATGAATATAATGCTATGTCGCATGCATTTTTATCTCTAGGGATTGTGTCTGGGAATGGACTGCTTGAAACTTTTTTCTTTTTAAATTAACCAACTACTTATAAAAACCAGATATGTAAGCTGGGTGTTTTGTCATAGGCTTTTAATTTCAGCACTTAGAGCAGAAGCAGGTAGAGCTCTATGAACTTTAGGCCAGCCTGATCTACATAGTGAGTTCCAGCCCCATCTTTTAAATAAAAAGCATGTGACCTGGGCATGGTGGTGCACACCTGTAATCCTGTACTTGGGAGGTGGAGGCAGAAGGATCAAGAGTTAAAGATTGGGGCTGGAGAGATGGCTCAGTAGTTAAGAGTACTGACTGTGCTTGCAGAAGACCTGGGTTCAGTTCCCAAAACCCACATGGTGGCTAACAGCTGTCTCTAACTCCAGTTCCAGGGGATCTGGCACCTTCTTTACTCTGTGGGCATTGCAGGCATGTAGTGTACTTAAATACATGCAGGCAAAAACACTTAACACATAAATACAAATTAAAAACAAGAATCGTGGACTAGGCATGGTGGTGCAGGCCTTCAGTCCTAGCATTTGAGAGGCAGAGATTGAGGCCAGCCTGGTCCATATGGTGAGTTCCAGGGCAGCTGGAGCTACAGGAAGACTCTGTCTCAAAGAAAGAAAAGAAAAAAAATGTTAAAAAAGGCTTGGGGTCTTCCTTAGCTATACCTCCAGTTAGAGGCCAGCCTGGTTCCATGAGACTCTGTCTCAAAAACAAAAACGAAACAAACACCGGGTGTCCGTCCTGTGCCTTCCTTTCTTAAGATCGAGACCCCTTGCCCTTTCCTAGCCCTGTTTCTCGACTTCCATAATCCCTACACATACCTCCTCTTTGCTGTCATTCCTGGCTCTAGAGTTTTCTAACAGCATATTCTGAGGGGTCGCAGAACCAATTGAATGAGGTGTGTCTGGCCCTTTTTAATATACTTGTAAGCTTGCATTTCCTCTTGTGTGTACATATAACTCACCAAAGCAAATGTATTTGTGAACTTTCATTGAAAATGTGCTTGCTCTGGGCTGATCCTGACCTCTTTCTTCACAGATTTCCACCGCTGTGAGAAGGCGATGAACGCGAAAGGGGGTGATGCTTCTGTGTGCGAGTGGTACCGGCGTGTGTACAAGTCCCTCTGCCCCATTTCCTGGGTATGTGCTTCTCAGGGGACCCTTGGAACACTTGGTTGGGGACAGTCTAGCCAAGAGGCATGTGGTAACTTAGTGTGAGTTCATTTCCACGGGCAGAAGGAGGACCAGGCATGGCAGTGTCCACTGATACACCCAGTCAGGACCCTCAGCCCAGCGGCCAGGACCACCTTCTTAGATCTGCCTTACTCATGCACTGTATAACCATGGACTGTTCAGTCTGCCCTCTAGTACTATGAATTTTTTTGGAGACAGGGTCTTCCTGTAGCCCCAGCTGCCCTGGAACTCACTATGTAGACCAGGCTGTCCTCACTCTCAGAGAGCCACCTGCCTCTGCTTCCCAAGTGTTGGGATTAAAGGTGTGCTCCACTATGCCTGGCTTTGCTTTTCTTTTTTTTTTTTTTTTGGTGTTGTTTTTGATACAGGGTCTTCCTGTAGCCCCAGTTGGCCTGGAACTCACTATGTAGACCAGGCTGGCCTCGAACTCACAGAGATCCGCCTGCCTCTGCCTCCCAAGTGCTGGAATAAAATGTGTGCACCACTACACCCTGCGACTTTTCTTTTTAAATTAGAAATTTTGTTATTACTGTGTGTAAGTATGGTGTGTGTCCCTGTAATCCCAGCACTCAGGAAGTGGATTAGAGGGGATGGAGAGATGGCTCAGCGGTTAAGAACACTGGCTGTTTTTGCAGAAGACCCAGGTTTGAATCCCAGCACCCACATGGCAGCCAACAACTGTCTGTAACTCCAATCCCAGGGGATCCAACAGCCTCTTCTGACCCCCTCAGGCATTGCACGACACGGATGCACTTACCTACATGCAGGCAATACATGCATACACATAAAATAAAAATAATTAAAAAAAATTTTTTAAAAAGGAAAAAAAGGACGGGTGCAGTGGCATGCGCCTTTAATCCCAACACTCTGGGAGGCAGAGTCAGGCAGATCTCCATGAGCTCAAGGCAAGCCTGGTCTACATAGTGAGTTCCAGGACAGCTGGGGCTACAGGGAGACTCTGTCTCAAAAAGACAAAAAAAAAAGGTAAAAGCCCCTGCATTCCCTGTCTCCCTCCCCTGAGGAGACTGTACTCAGTCCATTGTCTCTGTATGAAGTTGGCATACCTAAAAAGCCTAGGACCTCATGTGCACGAATGGTTCATGCTGTATATTCTTTATTTTGCTTTTAAACTTTTATTTACTATTATTGGGGGTATGCATGCAGTGACACATGTAGGGGTCAGAGGACAACCTTGTGGCATCAGTGCTTTCCTTCCACCCTGACATGGACTCCTGGGATTAAACTCAGGCTGCTGGGCTTCTGTGGCAAGTACCGTTATCTGCTAGGCCACCTTCTTTCTGCCCCCTTGCGCTGTATATTTTGTTCTGTGTCTGTGAGGTGGTGGTGGCTGTTAGAGTCTCACGAAGTCTAGACTGTCTTCAAATTTGCTTTGTATTCAAAAATGACATTGAATTTTCTGAGATCCTGCCTCTGAGTCCTGAGTACTGCATGTATAGTTCACCAAACCAGGTTTATGCAGGGCTGGGTATGAATCCCAGGTTTCCTACATGCTAGACAAGCACTCTACCAGCTGATCTACATCCCCAGTCACTACTGGGCTTACTGCCCTTTTTTTTTTTTTCGGTCTTTTTGAGACAGGGTCTCTCTATAGCCCTAGCTGGCCTGGAACTCACTAGGTAGACCAGGCTGGCTTGGAACTCAGAGATCCACCTGCCTCTGCCTCTGCTGGGATTAAAGACATGTGCCACCAGGCCCAGCCATGCTGCCTTATTTTTTTGATGATACACAAGTCTACTTTATTTATTTATTTTTTTGCCTTTTTGAGACAGGGTCACCTTGTAGCCCCAGCTGACCTGGAACTCATTATGTAGACCAGACTGGCCTTGAACTCACAGAGATCCGCCTGCCTCTGCCTCCCAAGTGCTGGGATTAAAGGCTTGTGCCACCATGCCGGGCCCTGTTTATTTCTTTTTTATGTGTATGAATGTTTTGCTTGTATGTAAGTGCACCACATGCTTGTACCATGTTTTCATTACTGGCAGGAGACAAGAGGGCATCAGATCCCCTGAAACTGGAATTATCGATGGTTGTTAGCCACCATGTGGGTGCTGGGAATGTTGAACTCGCATCTTCTGGATAGCAGTCAGTGCTCTTAACCACTGAGTGAGCCATCTCTACAGCCCTACTTTTTTCTCTTTTTTTAATTTTTTTTTTTTGAAATAGGTCATCACTCTAACTCTGGCTAGCCTGGTACTCACTGTATGAACTCAAAGCAGTCCTGCTGCCTCAGCCTCCCAAGTAGTGAGATTACAGGTGTGTGTCACAAGCTGGCCTGCAGATGTGTGGGATTTAGTTCTCTAATGTAAGATGCCTTAGGGACATTCTTAACTCATTTGACTTGCCACCTTTGCTGTGCCAGACTGACTCAAGTATCTGAGGCTCCAGGATTTCTTCCTGGGTGATCTTGGGTAACAGATGTGATCCTGTGGCAGCTGTCCTCCAGCTGCTAGGCCTGCATCAGTGCATGCTGACCAGGGTGCCAGGAAATGTACTTTGGATCCTGTGCTTCCCCATACCCTGGCCTCCTGGTCCTGGGCCTACCCGGACATGGAGAATACCAGGTTGTGTGGCTCCTCCACAGAGGTGTCCACTTGGTCTGCCCTGTTAGATCTGAGCAGACATAGTCTGCCTAGCCCCTTTATGCCCAGCAGCTTTGACCTCTTAATTCCAAATCCTTAATAAGTAAAAATAAGTTTTTGTTTTTACTCGTTTTTTTGTTTTGTTTTTTGAGACAGGGTCTCACTATGTAGCCCTGACTGGCCTAGAACTCATAGATCCGCCTTCCTGAGTGCTGGGATTAAAGGAATACACCACATCCGGCAAAACTTTTTATTTGTGCATGTGAGTGAGTGCAAGGAAGTGGAGATCAGAAGACAGCTTCCACCATGTGGAAGCATCTCAGGTTGTCAGGCTTAGCAGTAAGTGCTTTTACCCTCTTTCTGTTAGTTTAAGTTAGTCTCTAATCTCAGTATGCCTGTTTGTTGGGGCAAAATCAGTACATTTCTATGTGATGTGCATTTGAATCATTTTTTCCCCAACCATCTTTTATTTTCCTTAAAACATGTGTATGAATGTTTTACCTGCATGTATGTAACCATACCACCTGCATGCAGTGCTCATAGAGGCCAAAGAGGGGACTGGATTTGGAGGTGGTTGTGAGCTGCCATGTGGGTGCTAGGAACCAAACCTAGGTCTTCTGCAAGAGCAAGCCGGTGCTCTTAACTACAAGTTATCTCTCCTCTTTTATAAAAATTTTAAAGACAAGTGATTTATGTAATGTGGAGAGTGAAAAACCTCCTGTTTTAATTTTTTTATTAAGCTGGGAATGGTGGCGCACACCTTTAATCCCAGCACTTGGGAGGCAGAGGAGGGAGGATCTATTTGAGATCAAGGCCACCCTGATCTACAATGCAGGTTCCAGGCCAGCTGGGGTACAGGGGGACCCTGCCTCAAAAAGACAAAAAATGAATCAATCAATCAAATCAAATGCTCCCTGGAAAATTCTTAAAGAAAAAAAAATGAAATAAAAAAAGAATTCCCTGCCCATGAGCTGAACTAGGTCTTTTTCCACTGTTTTAAATATTGTTTCTGGGAACAAATCCAGGGCAGGAAGTGCAGCGTGATTTTCTTAGTTCCCTCTCTGAGGAGTGGGATTGCTGGGTAAAGAGTAATTTGCCAGAGATCAAAAAGTCATTGCACCTTAATCCCTAGGAGTATCTTTTTGTTGTGGTTCTGGTTTGAGATGGAGTCTCCTGTGTTCCAGGCTGGCCTTTAACTCACTATGTAGCTGAAGCTAACACTGAACTCCTGATCTTTCAGCCACTGCCTCCCATCGTTGAGATCACAGGTGTGAGGCACCATTCCCTAGGCCCATTTGTGTGCTTTAAATGCCCATTTAAATCAGTTAAAAAAAAAAAAAGATAAACTCAGTGACCAAGAAATACAGAGAAAACCATGGCCAGTACAGGTCAGTGTGCAGGATCCAGATGAACACAGCCACAGAAAAGCAGACCTTCCCCGGGATGGCCCCTGCCCTGGGGAAGGCATTCACCAGCAGAGGGGTGCTGTGGCCTAGTAGCCTGCTGCAGAAAGCTCAGGTGGGTGTCAGTGATGTCAGGAGAGTAGGTTGTCTGACAGGCATTGTGGGCTCTGCCACTTGTGGTCAGGTCACAGTCTCCACGTTCCATGCTATCAATTCTGACATCTCATTTGTAAATATGAGAATGTGTGTATACAAAGAGATTGTGCTGGGCCCACCAGACGGTCAGTGAGTAGAGGCACTTGCTGCCCACCCTGAGGACCTGAGTTGGGTCCCTGGGACCCACAAGGTAGAAGGAGAGAAACAACCCCTGCAAGTTGTCCTAACTGTAAGAAGGTCCACCAAGCACATTGTTGAATTCTTGGGAATGTTAACAGTGTCTTTCCATTTTTTTTATGCTATACATGCATCTGTGATGAGTATTAGGACCTCTCTGTGTTTGACATCTTTCTGTACTTGACTGCAAAATGTGGAGATCTATCCATTTTTGTTAGAACATAGACCAGCTTCATTTTCACAGCTGCCTAGTATTCTATCTTACCTCTGTTCTGACAGTAACAGAGTGTCTGTTCTGGGGCTCCTGAAGCAGTGCACAACTACATTTTTGAGGCTGTGAGTGACACCCTGCATTAAGCCTGGGATTTTTCTGCCTGTTCTTCCCACAGAATGTCAGTTCATTGGGGATACTTGTGGTCTTCTGAATCACTGTGATTCCTTGGTACAATGATTGGCACACAGCAGACACCTTTGGTTGTTTGTTGGCCAGATGCATCAGTGGAAAGAGGGAGACAGAGAAGTTCAGCGAGTGGTTTCCCCATATAGGGAGGAATGATATGCTTTGTCTTTTTGCAGGTCTCAGCCTGGGACGACCGCCGGGCAGAAGGCACATTTCCTGGGAAGATATGACCTGGTTCTGTCTCGCCTCTCCTTTGTCCTCTGTCCTTCTCCCTGGGTAGTAAAGGGGTACCCGGGTACATGATGGTCCCTACGCTGGGACCCTGAATCCTGATGTAACTACTAATAAAAATTCACTGGATAAGTGTCATGTGGTACAGACAACTGGGCCAGAATCTGTGCCCTGGCCCACAAGGGATCTCTAAGCTGTGATCTTTGCTGTTTTGTTTTACATTTTAGTAGGGTTTTTTTTTTTTTTTTGAGATTTTATGTTTATTTTATGTTTTAATATTTTATTTATTATGTGTATGAGTATTTTGCCTAAGTGGATGTAAGTGTATACCCAGAGAGGCTAGAAGAGGGTATCAGATCGCTTGGAACTGGAGTTACAGTTATTGGCTGCCATGTGGGTGCTGGGAATCAAACCTGGGTCCTCTAGAAGAGCAGCCAGTGTTCTTAACCACTGGGCCATCTCTCCAGCCTCTGATTTTATTTTTAATTATGTGTGTGTCTGTGGGTGTGTATGTAAGTGCCAGGTACCTGTGGAACCCAGAAGAGGTTGTCGGATGTGTAGTCAGAGTTGGAGTTGTGATTCCCTGATGTGGGTACTCTTAACCACTGAGCTCTCTCCAGCTCCACACTTTTTTATTATAAACTTGAACCATCTCTATGATAGACAATGGAGTGACTATTCACACAAAATAGCTTCAGGTCTGCAATGTGCTAAAATTGATTTGGGTGTTTGCTCTTAACTATCTGTACAGAATTAGCTTCCCCAGGACCTCACAAATGCTAGGCAAGCATTCTACTACTGAGCTACAGTCCCAGTTAGATTGAACTGTTATGAACAAATACCCTGTGCAATTCTTCTTGGGCTACCCTTCGCCTTAGTGATGTTTTTCTTTCTAATTTTTATTTATTTATTTATTTATTTATTTATTTATTTATTTATTTATTTTTTGGTCTTTTTTGAGACGGGGTCTCCCTGTAGCCCCTGCTGGCCTGGAACTCACTATGTAGACCAGGCTGGCCTGGAATTTACAGAGATCCACCTGCTTCTGCCTCCCGAGTGCTGGGATTAAAGGTGTGCTCCACCACACCTGGCTCTAATTTTTATGTGCACAAGTTTTGCCTGCGTGTATGTAAGTGTGCCTATGTACGTAATGCTTTTCGAGACCAGAAGAGGATGTCAGATGATGGCTTAGCTACCATGTGGGTGCTGGGAACAGAACCCAGGTCTTCTGCAAGAGCAGCCAGTGCTCTTAACCACTGAGCCATCTCTCCAGCCCCTTCTTTCTTTTAAGACAGGTTCTCGGGTACCCCAGTCTGGCCTTAAACTTGCTATGTAACTGAGGATGACCTTGAATTCCTAATTCTCCTGCCTTCACCTGGGATTATAGGCATGTACCACTACCACGTTCAACTTTAAAACAATCACCATTATTTTACCTAAGAAATTCAATTCTCAAACCTATCTCAGGTCCCTGCCTGGTCAGCCTCCTGCGTGGGGTCCCTGCCTCAGGTCCTGGGCCTGCTTCCTCTCTGTGTGTTTATCACCATGATGATTGGAAGCCACTGAAGGCCACTGAGTTTACTGTCCCCCAAAGGAACTGGCAGAGTCCAAAAGATCCCCAACACGGGCAAGTCTGCAAGGCCAGCTCGAGTGCCATCTAGTGTCTGAATCCATGTATCCTGAAAACCTCGACTGATTGCTTGTAGGACAAATATCTGATGTGTCGATGCTCCTTATGTTGAAGAAAATAGCTTTTGAGAGGGATCTGAGGCAGCTGCCAGGGGATGACCAGAAATACCACCCTAGTGCACGCGCGGTCCTTGAAGGTTTGCCTGTACCATGCTTTGACAATGCCAAAGAACTGCAATGAAAGGCTGTCTGCTTTTGTTTCTGTTGGTCCTGTGGATGAAACCCAGGGCCTCCCACATGCTAAGCAGGTGCTCTACCATTGAGTGACCCCAGCCCCTCACTGGGGGATTCAAGGCAAGGGCTGTACTGCTGAGCTATATCCCTTTTCTTAAATTATTTGTGTGTGTATGCATGGCATGTGTGCAGGTGCCCTCTGAGATCAGAAGAGGGCGTTAAATCTGCTGGACCTGGAGGTAGAGGCAGTTGTGAGCTGCCTCGCCTGAGTACCTGGAATTAAGCTCCCATTTACAAGAGCAACAAGTATTCCTACCCACTGAGCCATCTCTCTGTGCCCCTGCCCCAACTCTTTGGTTTTTTTGTTTGTTTTGCCTTTTGATTTCTTTTTTTTTGTATGCATGCATTGCCTACATATCTACTTGCAGTGCAAGTAGGTAAGTGCACCCGTGCCCTGCAATGCCCTGTGGAGGACAGAAGAGGCTGTCAGATCCCCTGGAACTGGAGTTATAGACAGTTGTTAGCTGCCATGTGGGTGCTGGGATTCAAACCCAGGTCTTCTGCAAGAAGTCAGTGTTCTTGACCACTGAGCCATCTCTCCAGCCCCCCCCCCCCTTTTTTTTTTTTGAAACAAAGTCTCCCTATGGCCTTAGCTGTCCTGGAGCTTGCTATGTAGACCAGGCTGGCCTTGAACTTAGAAATCCATCTACATTGTTTTTTCTTTTTTTCAATTTTTAATTATCTGGAGGCCAGAACAGTCTTGGATATCCCAAGAGTTGGAGTTACAGGTAATTGTGAGCCACCTGATGTAGGTGTTGGCAGTTGAACCCTGGTCCTTTGGAAGAGCAGCAAGCACTCCAAGCACTGAGCCATCTATCCTGGCCCCCCACCCCTTTTTAAATGTGTGTCATAGTCTGAGGACAACTTTGTGGAGTCAGGTCTCTCCTTTCACCTTTGTATGGATTCTGGGAATCAAACTTAGATCTCTAAGCTTTGCAAGGCAAGCACTTTTATTCACTGAGCCATATCAGTGGCCCTGTTTCTACTTTCCTCTAACTTCCTTTAAAAAAAGAGATACGGGGCTGGAGAGATGGCTTAGCAGTTAAGAGTACTGACTGCTCTTGCAGAGGACCTGGGTTCGATTCCCAGCACCCACATGGCAGCTATGAACCATCCTTAACTCCAGTTCCAGGGGAATCCAAAGCTCTCTTCTGACCTCCAAGGTTTTGCATGACACGGGTGCACTCACATACATGCAGGCAATACACTCATACACAAGATTAAAAATATATATATATATATATATCTGGGTGTGGTGGCACTTTAATCCCAGCACTCGGGAGGCAAAAGCAGGAGGATCTGAGTTTAAGGTTAGACTAGTCTACATAGCAAGTTCCAAGCTAGCTGGGGCTACAGGGAAACCCTGTCTCAAAAGTAATAAAAATTTAAAAAGAGATAATAGAAGTTGGGTGTAGGAGCATCTATGGGGGCACACCTTTAATCCCAGCCTATAATCTCTGTACTTGAAGGCAGAGACAGAGGCAGGTGGATCTCTGTGAGACTGAGGCCAAGCCTGATTTACATAGTGAGTTCCAGGCCTTCTGGGGCTACAGGGAGACCTATCTCAAACAAAAAAAACCAATACAGAATAGTATGCAAATTTTTGTGCCCGTGCATTCAATAGTTTAAACAAAATGATCGCTCACTGTCTCTCTCTCTTCTACCTCAAGGCTGTCCTAGCCACTTGAGTACTGGGATTCTACATTATGAACCACCACTCACCTACCTGGATGAAAAAGTCAAACAGAGCAATGGGGTGTGCAGTGGACAGTCAAGGCTAGGACTTCCCTGATTGTTTTTCAGTTTCTCTCCAGGGAGAACCCCTTAGAAGCATTTATAGATATGTTCATTTGGTTAGGCATATAGCTCAGTGATAGTGTTTGCTTAGCATGCCCAGGGCTCCAGGTTCCATCCTGAGCACCTTAATATGTGCGTGTGGGTATGCATCTATTTGCTTTGATGTCTCTCTTGTCCTAATCTATTGTGTCTGTTTGCTTACCCACTTCCTGCCACACTGACTGCTTTGGTGGAGCAGTATCTGTGCAAACAAATGAGACTCCACACCAAGCTGGTGGTACCCTCCAGTGCTGAGCCCTTGCTCTGTTCCGCCTGACACGAGGCTCACCCCCTCACCAGACTCAGTCCCTCAGTCATACTAGTGAGGCCTTTCCTGACTGCTAGACCTACAACTGCAACTCTGCACTTCCCCACAGCCATTTCCTCTTCAGTGTTTGCTTCCTTTACCTACTTCAACTTTTTTTTTTCTTTTTTTGGTCTTTTTGAGACAGGGTCTTCCTGTAGTCACAGCTGGCCTGGATCACTATGGAGACCAGGCTAACCTTGAACTCACAGAGATCTGTTTCCCTCTGTCCCCCTGAGTGCTGGGAGACTTCAACAATTTTTAACATGCTGTCATAGTTGGTTTTGGTTTTATTTGGTTGGTTTGTTTTTGAGATGGGGTCTCCCTATAACCCCAGCTGTCCTGAATCTTGCCGAGTAGACCAGGCTAGCCTTCAGCTCACAGAGATCTGCCTGCCTCTGCCTCTTGAGAGCTGGGAATTAAAGGCGTGTGCCTCCACGCCCAGCTTGTTTTAGTAATTTATTTTAATTTATTTGTTTATTGTCTTTGAGACAGGGCCTCCCTGCAGCCTCACTTGGCCTGGGACTCACTATGTAGACCAGGCTGACCTAGATCTCACAAAGATCTACCTGCCTCTGCCTGGGATTAAAGGCATACACCACCACATCTGTCTATTTATTTTATTTTTATTTAATTGTGTGTATATGGGTTTGTACTGTGAGTGCAGTGCTGGAATTACGGGCTGCTGTGAGCTGCTAGGAATCAAACTCGTCCTCAGGAAGAGCAGCACAGGCTCTTAACCACTGAGTCTCCCGAGTGCTGGGATTAAAGCTGTGTGCCACCAACTGGCATAAAAACAATATGTTCTTTCATACTCTATCACCATGTAGCCTTACTCTCGAGGCAATCCTCCTGCCTCAGCCTCTCAAGTACAGGGATTATGGGTCTATACCACCATGCCTGGCTCATTACCACTTTCAAGAAAAACTATGAAGCCAGGCCAACTTTATAATTTCAGCACTCAGAAAGTGGAGGCAGGAGAATACTGAGTTCAAAGCCATCCTTTTTTTTGGTGAAGAGGGGAATGTTAACAGTGGCTCACATTCTGTATGTGCTAATTGGTTCTTATTGAACCACCACCACCACAACAGGGCATAGTAATACTTCTACAGTAGCTCTTCCCACCCATCCCACAGCGTCTCAGCCTGGATTCTCCAGTCTCCTCATTCCTTCCAGCTGGAGGCACCTGGTGCCAGGTGGTTGTGCCTAATCCTCTGGGAAGGTGGTTGCCACTAGCCCTTTCCTGTAGAAGGATTTGTTTCCCTTTTGGATATTGGAAGCGTCCTGGAGTGACACTATGCTGAGCAGCCCTGCACAACTTTGCGTATATCCACATAAGCCTCACTCTGTGACACTTAACTGTAGTCAGACCTGAACCTGTGCTAAAGGCCTGTGATTCCCCTTTAATATAAGGAGAGACCTTGAGACATTTTCTTGTCCACCTCTTATAGACCATTTCTCACGTTTCCCTTGATTCAGTCAACATGGAACTTTCCGCCTTGCTAGTCCTTACGGTGCAGCTGCAGGTTATAAAATTTCCATCGTAGCCGGACATGGTAACACACGCCTGTAGTCCCAGCACTTGGGAGGCCAAGGCAGGCCGATCTCTGAGTTCAAGGCCAGCCTGGTCTACATAGTGAGTTCCAGGCCAGCTGGGGCTACAGGGAGACCCTGTTCAAAAAGACAAAAAAAAAAAAAAGACCATTCCTATTTTACAAATGAAGCTGATAGGTTTCCATCCCACGTCTAGGTCAAGCAGGGGTTCCTTTTGGAACCTTCCTCTGTAAGAGGATTTGGTACAGGAAACAGAAACTTCCTAAGACATACTGTGCAGCAAAACTCTGTGATGACATGAATTTAAATACAATTGCCTTCCCTCAGACCCTCATTATATTCAACTCAGCATTGCCCTGCAGTGGGATGGTTTGGTAGTTAAGAGCACTTGCTTTTGTAGAGGATCCAGGTTTGGTTCCCAGCACTCACAAGGTGGGTGTGATGGCCTGCTTGTATGTAAGTGTACCTGTATCGGATCCCCTGGAACTGGAGTTATGGAGTTGTTAGCTGCCATGTAGGTGCTGGGAATCAAACTCAAGTCCTCTGCAAGATCTTAACTACTGAGCCATCTCTCCAGCCCCTGTTTTGTTTTCTTAAGACAAAATCTCATGTATAGCTCTGCCTGCCTCTGCCTCTAGAGTGTCAGGATTAACCACCACACCCAGTTTCGCCATCTTATTTATTTATTTATTTATTTATTTATTTATTTATTTATGAGAAAGGATTTCTGATTGGTCTTCACCTTGCTGATTACACTAATTGAGCCCCAGGAGTCCTTCTGTCTTTGTGCCCTTCCCCAGGCCAGTGCCAGGGTTACAGAGACATATTGCAGCCCATCCCAGCTTATACCTGGGGATCCTAAATCAGGTCCTTGTGCTTGCATAGCAAGCACTGTGGATTGAGACATCTCCCAAGCCCCAACTTTTTGCTTTTATTAGGCACTTTATATAACTTGAAAATACTGTTGCTGAAGCCAGGTGTGGCGGCACACACCTTTAATTCCAGCACTTGGGAAGCAAAGGCTGGAGGATCTGTGGTTCAAGGTCATCCTCAACTACATTGTAAATTTGAGGCCATCCTGGGATCAAAAAAAAAAAAAAAAAACAAATAACTGGGTGGTGAGGTAGTTCAGGGGGTAAAGATACCTGCAGCCAAGCCTGATGACCTGAGTTTGATCCCTGGCACCCACAAGGTGGAAGGAGAGAACTGACTCCCCCAAATTGTCTGATCTCCATACCTGCTTAATGGGCACATACTCACACACAAAGTAATAAAATTTAATTTTAAAAACACGAAAAACCAAACCAAAACCAAATATTTCAAAGTATTAACCTGGCTCTATTTTTTGTTTTTTTTGCAAATTATTTAAGGCAAAACTTATCTAGTGTCCATGCATTATTATTTAAATTTCCTTGGAATCCCTTAATATGAATGTAAATCAAGGGGGCTGGAGAGATGGCTCAGTGGTTAAGAGCACTGGCTGCTCTTGCAGTGGCTCTGGGTTCAATTCCCAGCACCTACATGGAAGCTAACAACTGTCCGTAACTCCATTTGCAGGGGATCTGACACCCTCTTCTGACCTCTGAGGGCATCGGACAACATGGGTGCACTTACATGCAGGCAATACGCTCTTACACATAAAATAAAAACAGTAAATAAAAAAAATTAAAATTTAGGCTGGGTGTGGTGGCACACACCTTTAGTCCCAGCACTTGGGAGGCAGAGGCAGAAGAATCTTAGTGAGTTTGAGGCCAGCCTAGTCTACCTAGAGAGTTCCAGGCCAGCTGGGGTTACAGGGAGACCCTGTCTGAAAAAACAAACAAACAAACAAAAAAGTAAAAGAAAAAAGTACTTTAAAGTAGTTTGAAGAAAATCAAGTTATTTAAATTGCAAAGCATCTTGTGTACTTGTTAAGAAGCCAATGTCTGGTTTTTGTTGTTGTTTTGTTTTGGGGGGACAGGGTCTCACTATATAACTCTGGTTGGCTGCTCTTTAGACCAGGCTCGCTTCACAGAGATCCACGTGCCTCTACCTCCCCAGTGCTGGAATTAATGGTGTGGGCCACCACGCCTCCACACACCTCCTAATGTCTTGTCTTTTCTCTTTTTAGTTTTAATTTTTAAATTTTATGTGTATGAGTGTATTGCCTGCATGTATGTAAGTGCACCCGAGTCATGCAGTGCTCAAGGAAGTCAGAAGAGGGTGTCAGATCCCCTGGAACTGGAGTTCCGACGTTTGTTAGCTGTCATGTAGGTGCTGGAATTCGAACCCAGAGCAGCCAGTGCTCTTAACCCCTGAGCCATGTCTCCAGTGCCTCTTTTTGGTTGTTTTGAGACAGGGTCTCTCTGTAGCCCCAGCTGGCCTGAAACTCACTATGTAGACCAGGGGGATCTTACAGAGATCTCCCAGCGTCTGCCTCCAGAGTGCTGGGATTAAAGGGGTGCGGCCACCACGCTTGGCTGCCAATGTCTATTTTGGGGAACGTCCCCAGCCTCAAGACACCAGTTTCACCAAAGGGATCAGCGCTTTGCCACTAGGGGGCGCCATTGGAGCGACGGTGGGCTCTGGAGCAGGGGTGTGCCGCTTGCTGCTTTGTGAACGTGGGCTGAGAACACACTAATTGCACATGTACATCACAAGTTGTGCGATTCAGAGGACACAGAACTGAGATTTAAGCCTAGATCCTTGATCTTCTCAGCCAGTAATCCTTCCACTTCCCCATTCTACCTGCCCCTTTCCTGTTTCTAGCCCATCCTCCCCTTCATAAACACTCCCCTCAGACTCCTTCACATGCCCTCTCCTGTCCCCACCTCAGTGGCTGCTCCTCTAACCAGTGGCTTTTATTTCTCCCTTACAACTGTCCCACTGCTCTGTCTTGGTCTAACCCTGTTCTCTGTCTCTCTCTGGTCCTCCCTCTGGGCTCTTGGGTCCCAGAAGGCTGCTGGAGGCAGTTCTGGAATCTGAGATTTACATGTGGGTCTGTCATGGATCTGACCCCTGCTCCCAGAAAAGCCCATGTAAGGCCTATAGAGATGGCCATCAGATAGTTTACTCCCCACTCCCACCCCCTCCTGCACCCCCACAGCCTGGGAACCAGAGGCCCTGAGTACATATCACTTTGCCCTGGTGGCCAGACATGAGCACAATCCTGAATTTCAGGTCTGTCAATCATTTCAATGGCAAGGAGCTCATAAAATCTGACCTCCCATCCTGGTCAGCCTGAGGAGCCCCTGTCCCCTCCCTCCTTCCTTTGGAGACTGGCTCAGGAGGGGCCTGGACATACATAGGGAGCTGCTGTGGGTGGGGCTAGCCAGAGGCTTCTGGAGAGCAGGTGAGGAGGGGGCTTTGGGAGTCAGGACAGAGGCTGAGGCTGTGCTGTCAGAGCCGTGCATTCTTATTCTGCAGAAGGGCTCACTGCCAGCGCTGTGGAAGGCTGGGCAAATGGGTACCAGCCTGGGCTGTGCAGCAAGTGAGAATCTCCTCACAGCTGGGGTCTAGCCTGAAGAGGATCTGGCTAGGCTCTCCCTCCTTCCCCTCCTCACTTCTGCCTGGCCTCCTCCCTCTTCCTATGTCCACAGCAGGATGATGGCTTGTGAAGCAACAGAGACGGAGAAGGGGTCTCCAGTAGTGGTGGGGCTGCTGGTCCTGGGCAACATCATTATCTTGGTGAGAGGCTCCAGTGCTGGGGAACATGGGGGTGGAGGGTTCATGGGGGAGGTGGCAATCCTCAGCCTGGGATGGGTATCGGGGCCAGCGCTGCAGTCTCAAGGCCCAGCAGCCTGGTCGAAATCAGCTCAGCTTTCTTCCAGCTGTGTGACCTTAAGGCACAACTTGACTTCTCTGTGTGCCTTCCTTCCTTATCTGAGGACTGTGTCTTCCTTGTGGATTGTGTAGATCAGTCCACAACTCAGAAAAAAATCCTTCACAGACAGGCATGGGGGCAAACTTGGGATGCTGCAGCTGGAGAGTTGGAGGCCAACCTGAACCACAGAGTGTGAAACCCTGGGGTGTGGTGGGGGGGTGGGGGGCGGGGGACACTGTTATTTGGGTGTGATGGTGTATGCCTGTAAGCCTAGCACTTAAGAAGTAGAGGCAGGAGGATTAGGAGTTCAGAGTCAGCTTCAGCTACAAAAAGAGTTGGAACCGGGTATGGTGGCACACACCTTTAATCCCAGCACTCGGGAGGCAGAGGCAGGCGGATCTCTGTGAGTTCAAGGCCAGCCTGATCTCCATAGTGAGTTCCAGGCCAGCTGGGGCTGCAGGGAGATCCTGTGTCAAAAAGCCAAAAAAAAAAAAAAAAAAGTTGGATACCAGCCTGGGCTACATGAGACTCTGTCTTTAAAAAGATACCACCATAGGCTGGGCATGGTGGCACAAGCCTTTATTTTCAGCACTCCAGAGGCAGAGACAGGTGATATCTGTGAGTTCGAGGCCAACTAGGGCTACATAGTGAGACCCTGTCTCAAAAATAAATAAATAAATAGATAGATAGATAGATTAAAAAAAAAAAAAAGAAAAAAAAAAAAAAAAAAAAAAAAAAACAAAAAAACAAAAAAAAAAAACCGAAACCAAAAGCCATGCAGGCCCTCAAGATGGCTCAGCAGGTAAAGGCACTTGATGGAGGACCTGAGTTCAATCTCTGGGACCCACGTGGTGCGGGAAACCTGACTCCTCAGGTTGTCCTCTGACTTCCGCATTGTGCTGTTGCACTCCTGCACCCATACACAAACAACGAAAATGAATAAATAAATAATATGAAAAACCATGGTAGCTATTATCTTAAAGTGTCTGCCTGACTCTTGGGAAACTCATAATAACAATGAATAATTGTCTCTGGTTTTAAAATTTTTGTTTGTTGTGTTTTGATTTTTGAGACAGAGTCTCACTGTGTAGCCCTGAATGACCTGGAATTCTCTATGTAGACCAGGCTGGCCTTGAACTCAAAGAGATCCTCCTGCCTCTGCTTCTTTCATATGTGTGCCCTCTGTTAGGGTTCCAAAGAGCAGCAGTTTCCCCCCTCCCCAACAGGGACCTCACCTTGACCTTTGGAGTCAAGGGAAACAAACTCTGCTGAGAAGCAGCCTGCCTTTCCTCTGACCTCCAAAGATAAGCAGATTCTACCTGATAACCATAAGATAAACAGAGTTCCTCTTATCTTAAGAGGAAAAAGAAAACACTTCCACACCCTAATCCTACCTGCTTCCCCTTCCCTGATTTCTCCCCCAAACATTCCCCCTTCCACACCCTAAAGCCCCCATATATAAAGTCCCAGCTCACAACCCGTGGGTGGACATCTCTCCTGGACATCTTTCCCTGACATCTTTCCCTTCCTAACCCCCTTCCCCCTTCCCCCTTCCCCCCGTCCCATCCCTGACATCTTTCCCTCCGCTGACATCTTTCCCTTCCCCAAGGGAAAGGTGCCCCATGCGAAATAAATCTGTATCCCGCTGAGAATTCCATCTGTGCCTCGGTGCCTTCCTCCACCCGCTCGCTCCCACCTGCTCTCTACCTATCACCCTCTATTTTTTGAGGCAGGGTGTTAAACCTTCTGGCCTTAAACTCCTAATTCTCCTGCCTCAGTTTCCTGAGTGCTAGGATTTACAGGTATGACTCACCATGGCTGACTTGTAATGTTTTTTAATTGATGTTGTTTTTTAAAATATTTTATTATTTTTATTTTATGTGTATGAGTGTATTGTCTGCATGTATGTGAGTGCATCCATGTTGTGCAATGTTGCGGAGGTCAAAGAGGGCTTTGGATTCCCCTGGAACTGGAGTTAAGGACGGTTCGTAGCTGCCATGTGGGTGCTGGGAATTGAACCCAGGTCCTCTGCAAGAGCAGTCAGTGCTCTTAACCACTGAGCCATCTCAATGATGTTGGGTTTTTAAAAATGTGTATGTGCATGTGTCTGTGTGTATAGACCACATGAGTACAGTTGCTTGCAGAGACCAGAAGAGGGCATCAGATCCCTTGGAGCAGGAGTTTTAGGTGATTGTGAGCTGCCTGATGTGGGTACTGAGAACTGAACTTGGACCCTCTGGAAGTGCAAGAAACATTCTTGATTGCTACACCATTTCTCCAGGCCCTTGGTGTTGTTTTCTTTCTTTTTTTGAGGGGGTGGGGATCTTTTTGATACAGGGTCTCCCTGTAGCTCCAGCTGCTTGGAACTCACTCTGTAGACCAAGCTGGCCTCAAACTCACAGAGGATCCGCCTGCCTCTGCCTCTCGAGTGCTGGGATTAAAGGCGTGCACCACCACGCCTGGCTACTTTTTTAAATTGTTTTGATTTATTTATTTTTATTTTATGTGTATGAGTGTTTTCCCTGCATGCGAGTGCACCTGTTTCATACAATGCCTGCGGAGGCCAGAAGAGGGCATCAGATCCCCTTGAACTGTAGGTTAAGATGATTGTTAGTCACCATGTGGGTGCTGGGAACCAAATCCAGGTAAACAGCCAGTGCTCTTAACTGCTGAGCCATCTCTCCATCCTCTGATGTTTATTTTTTGCAAAAAAAAAATATGTGATACTTGTTAGAATTTGGGGTAAGAAGGCATTGTGATTAAAAAGTAGATATGAAATCCAACCTCAACAGATACAGATAGTTTTATTAGCTATGAGGGACATACAACCTTCCCGAGGTTGTTGGGGGAGGGCTAAGAGTTATAGGTGGGCCCAGAAATTCCAGAAAAGGGACCAAGCCTTCCCGGAATCCCAAAAGGCGGGGCATACCTTTGGGGAGGTGTTCTACTCCTCTGGCAGGCATCGGGAAGGAGATGCGGTGTTCTGATAGGGGGTTTGATAAGGAACCAGATCTTCTAGAAGGCTAATAAGAAACCAGTTGTCTTTTGCTTGGGGGCATGTATTCTGAAGAAGATGCATCTGCCTTCTGGAGTGGGGGCAGGGTGGGCAGATGGTCAGTTCTTTCAGCCATGTTAGGCTGATTTTCCTTTAGTGCTTGTGCATGGCTCTATAGTCAGGCAGACCTGGGTTCATATCCCAGCTCTGCTAACTAGGGTCTGGGGCCAGAAGTGTAATCTCTGTACACCTGTTTTCTCATCTGTAAGATGGAGATAAAAAAAAAAAAGGAATATTGTAAAGATATTATGAGTTCCTGGATTAATGTTCCTAGAATAGAGCTGGATGCACTACTCTGCTCTTTGTATGGGCCAGAGCCTTAGGATGCTACAGCTGGTAACAGAAGTGATTATCACAGCCATTAGACCAACAGTCAGCACACAGTAAGAGCTCAAATTGTTAGCTTTTATCATCATCAAAAATGTCCGCAGGCTGGGCATTGTGGCACAGTCCTTTAATCCCAGCACTCAGGAAGCAGAGCCAGGCAGATCTCTGTGAGTTAAAGACCAGTTTGGTCTACATATTGAGTTCCAGGCCAGCCAGGGTGACATAGTGAGACCCTATCTTACAAAAACGAACAAAAATGTCCACCGAATAGTCCAGTGTGGGAACACACCTGTAATCCCAACACTTGGAAGGCTAAGATAAGAGAGTTACCACAAGTTTGAGGCCAGCCTAGGGCTACATAGAGGGTTCCAGGCCAACTTGAGCTACAGTGTGAGACCTTGTTTCAAAACAAACCAACCAACAAACGCTATCCACAGAGAAGTCATCCCTCCTTTGTCTCCATGCCAACCTTGTAGTGACCAGACTTTTAGTTTTTGTTTTGTTTTGTTTTTAGACAGGGTCTCTCAGGTAGCCCAGGTTAGCCTCAAACTCCTATATAGCCAGTGATAGGCCTGACCTTCTGATCCTCCTGCCTCTACTTCCTGAGTGCTGGGGATACAGGCCTGGACCACCACGCCCAGTTTATATGGTGCTGGAGATTGAACCCAGGACTTTCTACGTGCTAGATGAGCATTCTACCAGCTGAGCTACATCCCCAGTCTTCCCGGTATTTCTTTAAGCAAATACACATACAAGCCTATATTGTTGTCCCAATGTAGTTCATCCCCACATCCTGCTGTGCGACTCCAGTATTTCCCTCAGCAGCTCATGTGGCTTCTAAACTGTTCCACATAAAACTACAGAGAGCCTCCAGGCCCCTGGACAATCACACAGCACTCTGCTGTGTGCCGTCCTGCTGGTCCTCCTGGTCCCCTTATCATGGTGCTACAAGGGCTGGTGACTACCTTGCCCAAGCCACTGCACCTGAATGATTGACTGCTTGAACAAGGTGTTGAGGCAGATGTCATTTTAAATTTCTTTTTGTTTTGATTTATTTATTTTTTCTTTATGTGACTGTATGAGTGTTTTGCCTGCATGTATATAAATGCACTATGTGCCTGCAGTGTCCACGGAGGCCAAAAAGGGGCACTAGATTCCCATGGAACTGGAGTTATGGGTCATTGTTAGCTGCCCTGTGGGTTTTGGGAGCCAAGCCCCAGTGCAAGAGCAGCCAGAGCTCTTAACTGCTGAACGATCTCTCCAGCCCCCAGATGTCATTTTCTTATCTATGAGTGTAAAATCCTGCCCTCAGAACAGCCCTGCCAGTTGGGCCAGGCCAGCCAAGCATCTTCCCCTGTGCTGGTCCCGCTTGCCAGGGCTGGCATGGGACAAGGCTCTGATTGGGCCTTTTCTTGCTTCTTGGCTTTACCCACCTCATCCCTGCTCATGGGGGTGAGAGCCTCACTTCAGTGCCCACTTTACCCAAAGGACATGAGAGGCTCTGGATGGGGCAAGAACTCCATTTCAGAGACACGCAGCCCAGCTGCTGGCCTCAGGCAGACTTTCCTAACCCAACGCCCTGTCCAGCTGTCAGGTCTAGCCCTATTTGCTGAGACAGTGTGGGTGACAGCTGACCAGTACCGTGTGTACCCGCTGATGGGCGTCTCGGGCAAAGATGACGTCTTTGCTGGGGCCTGGATTGCCATCTTCTGCGGCTTCTCCTTCTTCGTGGTGGCCAGCTTTGGTGTGGGAGCTGCACTCTGCCGTCGCCAGTCCATGATCCTCACGGTGAGACCCAGGATGGGGATGGAGGGGACTTGCCATCACAGTTCTGGTAATAACTAGGTCAGTCCTGTGTGGCACCTTGCTTGGGGCCTCTGGCCCAGTAACCTTGTCTCAACTGTCACCCCCAATGTGCAGAGAATACTGGGGCACAGGATGTGAGGGAAGCTCTAAACAGTTACTAGAAGGTTCTTAATAGCAGAACTGGAATTTGAACCCCAATTATTTGGTCTCCCGGGGTCTTTGTTCCTGAGCTAGGCCAAGAACAATGACAAAAATAATAATAACATAGCTGTCATTTAGTAAGCAGGCACTCTATGCTGGGAGCTCAATGGTTTGCAGATTAGCTATTTCTCATGGCCTACCATAGAATACCACCACTGTTATCATCATCACCATTACCCTGTTTAACAGAGATTGAAACTGAGGTTCAAAGAGGTGAAATCACTTATCCAAGACCACACAACTACCTTACATCTGAGCACATCAGCTCTTGACCCTGTGCTTTTTTTTTTTTTTCTCAATTAGTTAATTATTTGTATGTGTATGAGTATTTTCCCTGGGTGCATGTAAGTGTACCATGAGTGTGCAATGACCGTGGAGGCCAGAAGAGGGCATCAGAATGCCTAGAACTGGAGTTACAGATGGTTGTTAACCACTATGTGGGTGCTGGGAACCCAGCCTGGGTCCTCTGCAAAAGAGAAGCCAGTGCTCTTAACTGTTGAGTCATCTCCCCAGTCCGTTTTGTTTGTTTGTTTGTTTGTTTTAATTTAAAAAAGCTAGCCAGGCATGGTGGCACACACCTTTAATCTCAGCACTCAGGAAGCAGAGGCAGGCAGATCTTTGAGATCAAGGCCAGCCTGGTCTACACACTGAACTCCAGGCCATATGGGACTACAGGGAGAACCTGTCTCAAAAAAAAAAAATTACATTATTTTTTTGTGGTGAGTACATGTGGTAAGTACTCATGTACTCATGCCACAGTATATGTGTGGCGGTCAGAGGACAACTTGTGGAAGGGAGTTGTCCCTTCTACCATGTGGGCCCCAGGGATCAAACTCAAGTCATCAAGTTTGGCAGCAAGCACCTTTACCCACTGAGCTATGTCATTTGCCCAAGCCCATTCTCTTAATCTCTGCCCACAGTAAAGAACCCACACCTGCCAAGAAGTTCTGTGCTTGACAATAGAAGTGAGCAGTGAGTGAGCTCTCTCAGTCCTCACGGGGCCCTCTGAAATTGTGCTTCTCAACACACTTACCAGACAGAGCAGCCAAGGCTTAATGAGGCCTCCCAGGTCTTTGGGAGAGCAGACATGCCATACAGAGAGCTCAGTGCTTCCTTTCCAGTAGAGGGTCTTTGAGTCTCCCCCGAGCATCACTTACTCGGTCAACAAGCATTTAATGTTTACTGAGCAGGAAGTATCACTGATCACCACAAGAGGCACTGAGCACAACCAGAAAGCCTTGATCTAAGGGAGTGAGGGAACCTGGGGAGGGTGAGAAGCCCACAGCCAGCAGAAGCAAAGACCCCAAGCAGATGTGTGTGTGGGTGAGCCCAGTCCACACTTGAGGGAAAAGGGTTCCAGGTGGAGGGAACAGCATGAACAAAGGTCATGGAGCCAGAGGTGGGCAGAAGTCCAACAGGCACCAGAGCACGGTAAGGGGAACGGGTAAGGAAGAACAGGGAAGGGGGCCAATCAGGTGGGCTTATGTGGCTTTGGCTTTATTCTAAGTAACATGGGGCTGTGTGGAGGGGCTTTCTCGCCACTTCCTTCCTCCTCCTGGTTTTCTTCCTTCCTCTCATCTTCATCCCTTCCCCCACCCCAACGAGATAATTAATTTTCTGTCATAACAATTTCACCAAAGCCTGAAAGTCTATACAACTACTAAAAATAATGTGTCTGGCTCTTCCCTGTTCCCATTTTTTTAAATTAAATTAAATTAATTAATTTATTTATTTATTTATTTGTCTTTTTTGAGACAGGGTCTCCCTGTAGCCTCAGCTCTCCTGGAACTTGCTATGTAGATCAGGCTGGCCTCGAACTCACAGAGATCCGCCTGCCTCTGCCTCCCGAGTGCCAGGATTAAAGGCGTGTGCCACCACGCCTGGCATAAATTTTATTTTTTTATTTGATGTGTATGAGTGTTTTGCCCGTGTGTATATAAGTACACCACATGTATTCACTGTCTGCAGAGGCGGGAAGAGAGTGTTGGATCCCCTGGAACTGGAGTTTACAGGAAACTGTTAGCTGCCATGCCCTGCAATGCCCATGGAGGACAGAAGAGGCTGTTGGATCCCTTGTAACTGGAGTTACAGACAGTTGTTAGCTGTCATGTGCGTGCTGGGATTCGAACCCAGGTCTTCTGCAAGAACAGTCAGTGTTCTTAACCACTGAGCCATCTCTCCAGCCCCTTTAAAATATTCTTTTAAATTATCTTTTAAAATTATGTGTGAGTCTAGCTCAGTGGTTAAGAACACAGGCGGCCCTTGCAGAGGACCCGAGTTTGATTCTCAGCACTCATATGGTAGCTAACAACCATTTATAACTCCAGTTCCAGGGGAATCTAACACCCTCTTCTGATCTCCATGGCACTGCATGCCAAGGGTACACTTACACACATGCTGGCAGTACACTCGCACATATAAATTTTTTAAAAATTATGGGGGTGTGTGTATGTGCATGTGGGTGCCGGTGCCTGTGGAGGCCAGAAGAGGGCATCAGATCCCCTGGAGCTGGAGCTAGAAGTGGTTGTGAGCTGCCTAACATGGGTTCTGGGATCCAAACTCGGGTCCTCTGCAAGAGCAGCAGGCTCTTTTAACCACTGAACTATCTCTCCAGCCCCCATCTGAGGAATCTTTTTTTTTTTGAAATAGGGTCTCACTGTAGTCCCAGCTGCAGCTCTCTACTACTGAACTAGACTATTTTTTCAACCCCCACTCCTTTTTTCTTTTTCT